GCCTGGTTTTAGTATCAGGGTTATTCTGGCTTCATAGAATGAATTCAGAAGTGTTACTTCCTTTTCTACGCTCTGAAATAGCTTGAGTAGTACTGGTACAAGCTCTTCTGTGAATGTTTTGTAGAATTCTCCAGTGAAGCCATCCGGGCCAGGGCAAAAAGTGTTTATTTAATGAATAGCCTCTAAAAGTGACCGTTTGATGAGGGAAGACCCTCATTTGGATAAGTTTGCTACATATTTGCTGTATAGATTTCTAGTTGGATTCCAATATGGTCAGAGAACATATGCTATGGGATTTCAATGCTCTTAAATTTGTTGAGGTTTGTGTTATGACCAAGGATATGGGCTATCTTGGCGAATGTTCTATAGATCTGTGAGAAGAATGTGTGCTCTGTTATTTTTGAGAGGAGTGTCCTAGGAATGTCTAATAGATCTTGTTGGTTGATGATGTCATTCAGCTCTATATGCTTGCTGATTTTCTGTCTAGTAGTTGTCTATTGCTGAGAGATAATGTTGTTGCCGTGAGCTGCCATCAGGTTAGCCCCTGACTCATGGCCTCCCCATGCACAACATAACAACACGCTGCTTGGTCCTGCACCACCCCCACGATTGGTTGCAGATCAGATTATTGTGATCAATAGGGCTTTCACTGGCTGATTTTCAAAAGTAGATCACCAGGCCTTTCCTTCTAGTCCATCTTAGACTGGAAGCTCCACTGAAACCAGTTCAGTATCATAGCAACATGCATGAGGTGCCTTGTCTGGAAGTCAAACCCAGGTCTCCCGCATGGAAGGTGAGAATTCTACCCCTGAACTCCCACTGCCCTCATTGAGAGAGCTATATTTGTTTTAATAGTTTCATTTATTTTTTCCAATTTTATTAGGTAATAGTCACACATTGTACAAATGAGGTACCAGGAAATACATCCTAGGAGCAAAATGGCATTTTCAGAGAAATACGGCCTTGTTCCTCTCATGACTACTATCCGTGTTTTTACTGTTGTTATGGTTGTTGTTTTTCAAACTGTATCTTATTGACCCACCCTGGAAATAAATGCAAAGCGGAAAAGGATAAGTCCAAGTTGAGACGTAACTTGAGAAGCTGGGTGCGTGTGGCCTTAAATAAATGTCCAGCTTAAACTGGCTGCTGACCACAGTGATTGAAGGGCCTAGCTGCTCCATTTCTCAGGTTCGAGGCAAGGGAAAAAAAGCACAGCTCATGGCCCACAGCATGCGCTGGTCCCATGGAACCCAATGGAGCCCAGTGGATAGCCCTGGGTAGTGTCAAGGAGCCCAGACCTGAGTTGTTTATGAAGAAAACGAAACACTAAAGATTGGGACATTTAATGCCCACCCCAAACCCAAACAATGCAACTGAATTGGAAATTGTTCATCTTGTTCCCACTGTGTCTACAGCAAGATGAAAATCAAAATACTCACCCACCGGTACTTGTACTACTTCCAAGAATCCAGCTGAATTTCAGCCCTGCCTGTGTTTCATCACTCCCAAGATGCACAGTTTTTCACCTTTATATATTTCTGGAATTGGTGTGATTGTCTAACAGTCAGTGGTATCTTGTGATCCCCACGGGCCACTCTTTTTCATTTTAATATCTCTGAAATCATGAAGCATCTTAAACTTGGTGAAATATGGAAGTAAGTGCTCAATTGATGTTTGCTAGGTGAAAAAGAAGAGGCTTGGTGCCTACATGCTTGATACAAGATAAATGCTGAGCTGATGTTAGCTGCTGTAGAGTCCGTTCTGATTCATGGCAACCCTATGTACAACAGAATGAATCACTGTCCAGTCCTGCACCACCCTCACGATGGTTGTTATGCTCGAACCCATTGTTGTAGCCACTGCGTCAATCCATCTCATTGAGGGTCTTCTTCTTTTTCAATGACCCTTTACTTTACAAAGCTTGATGTCCTTCTCCAGGAACTGGTCCCTCCTGATAACATGTCCAAACTACGTGAGATAAAGTCTCGCTATCCTTGCTTGTAAGGAGCATTCTGGTTGTACTTCTTCCGAGACAGATTTGTTCATTCTTCTGTAAATCCATGGTATAGTCAATATTCTTCACCAACACCGTAGTTCAAAGGCATCAATTCTTCTTCAGTCTTCTTTATTCATTGTCCAGCCTTTACATGCATTTGAGGCAATTGAAAACACCATGGCTTGGGTCAGGTGCACCTTAGTCCTTAAAGTTACATCTTTGCTTTTTAATACTTAAAGAGGTCTTTTGCAGCAATTTTGCCCAATGCAGTTGATGTCTCAACTGCTTCCATGAGATTGATTGTGGATCCAAGTAAAATGAAATCCTTGACAACTTCAGTCTTTTCTCTGTTTATCGTGATGTTGCTTATTTGTCCAATTGTGAGGATTTTTGTTTTCTTTATGTTGAAGGGAGCCCTGATGGCTCAGTGGTTAAGAGCTCAGCTGCCAACCAGAAGGTCAGCAGTTGGAATCCACCAGTTACTCCTTGGAAGCCCTGTGGGGCAGTTCTACTCTGTCTTATAGGGTTGCTATGAGGCAGAAATTCACTCGACAGCAACACGTTTGGTTTGGTTTGGTTTTTATGTTGAGGTATAATCCATGCTGAAGGCTGTAGTCTTTGATCTCCATCAATAACTGCTTCAAGTCCTCTTCACTTTCAGCAAGCAAGGTTGTGTCATCTGCATATCACAGGTTGTTAATGAGTCTTCCTTCAATACTGGTGCATGTTCTTCTTATAGTCCAGCTTCTCAGATTGTTTGTTCAGCGTACAGATTCAACAAGTATGGTGAAAGGATACAGCCTTGATGCACACCTTTCCTGACTTTAAACCACGTAATATCCCCTTGTTCTGTTTGAACAACTGCCTCTTGGTCTATGTACAGGTTCCGCATGAGCACAATTAAGTGTTCTGGAATTCCCATTCTTCTTAAAGAGCTGATAAAGAAATGAAAATAAGAACACCTGGTCATACCTAAGTCCTGGCTTCAGCAGAAATGACCCATTTGGGAGTGGTAACTCTGAGCTTACTGTACCAAGACAATGAGCATACCCCTGAGCTCCAGCGTCCCTGTCCCACTTGGGGAAAGTGTCAACCTAGAACACGGAAGTAGAGTGGTGGGAGCACTCCTGGCTCCC